TTGGTTCTCCGTGGTATGCTCTGATGAAACACACGTCACATTTTTTATGCATTTGTGCGGGAATATTGTGCCGTCGATGACCATTTCTTTGAAGGCACTTAGGTTGGCGAATCTCTCACCATTTTTGTCCCTTTCTCCAGTCTAGTGTTGTCTTCATTTCCGGTGTTGTTCAATACCGCCTTGGAGTTTAGGTGTCCCATCAGAATGTTCAAGTCCTATGTTGGGCATTTCTTGACGATTGACTGCAGCTCTTTGTAGAACTTATATTTAAGTTCTTCATTGTAATCGTTGGTAGGCGCATGGAAGTGCATGACTTTCATTGAAGTGCCTTTATTCTTTGTTTTGAAGGATGCCTTGATGGTCCTGGGTCTATGAGAGTCTCGTTTTATCAGTGCTTTTTGTGCTTGTCTGGACAGCATCCGTGCAACTCTTTGTGTATGTGGGGCACTATTTTTCTTCATGGCCGGAATATAATCTTTTTTGTAAAGCATGCACCCAATGTGTTCCAGTGATTCCAAATACCACTAGGCTGTAGGTTTTCATTTGAGTAACAACTTGAGCGGTGCTCCCGGTTTCCCTCAGTGTACGAGCTTTCCATGTGCCTCTGTTAATGGTTGCTCTGCTCGTTAGAAGGAAAGTCAGCCTCATGCTTTCCAAAGGAACTCAGCTTTCATCAAGAGGCCTCAGAACTCTTCTGAATGAAGACTTTCCAACGGCCAGGTCAGAGTTTAAATGATGTGAATTGTTTTTTCTGGCTAGTATCGGTTTACCAATTCGGTTTTATACAAGATGGGATCGCTTACCTCATGCCAAGACCCCCGAATTTATTGGGATTTGGGACCGGCTTTAACGTCAGACGGACTCCAGGAGGAGCTGAAAATCTCAGACACTTGGGATTATTCTTATTGATCATCCGAAGAGGACTTGACAACCATATACTTGGATATGGAATAATGTTTCTCACTTGAACAAGCTAACCTGATTCATGTCTTGTAAGTTATCCGTTTTTATTATTGTCACATAAAATCTGCTCAATAATATAGCACTTTTTTCATCTTGCTGTCATCATCCATTATGCTTAGACTTCTGTTTATTTGCAGTGTTTCCACTGTTAATTTATTTGTGAATCACCAATGTAGGTAATCCATGTAAAGTTGCGGTTCGCTCAAATCGGGTGGGAATGATGTGACCTGGTTTACGTTGAGATGTCAGCTCGAGACTAATAACTGACCCATATAACCCTGCCGTTTCATTCAGGTACTATGACTATTTTGGTCAGTGTATAGAACAAGAGTGTTGCTAGTAGGAGTAAGTTGGAGAGAGTGTGCACTTACTGCCACATAGACCAACCTATGACGTTCGATCGTGCTCATTAGCCATCTTTAACCTTGATAAAGTTCGGCAGACTGCTTGGTGATAATTGATTTATCGCCTAATCAACCAACCAACTTACCGCCTACCTGGAAATTTGATAGTTACTGGTTCTCGAAACCCTACTGTCATTAGAAAAATGCTCTGAGATTCATTGGTGCCCAAGGCAATTGTAAAACTAGCGTCTAAAGAACCAGCCATTAGATATTAATACGGGCCAGGAATCTTAAAGAACTGTCGAAAGGTGAGAGAAAGAAATCAGTTGGTTCATACGTGCTTGTTTCAACGATTTGGGCTAAGTACGTGGAATTCACAAAGTTTTGATAATAAAGAAATCAACACTAATCATAGTTGATTCCAGCGTAAAATTAAGACAACCTGAAAGTTTAAACGAGAGTTTGTGGGGTAGGATTTAGGATACGCTACAACCCCGGCGGACATACTGGACATACCAAATATATTGAACGAGGTTGAAGTAAAGCGGGCCTTTCGATGATCTGCGATTCGTTCTCATTTATCGGTTCTTATAGGTGAGTGTCCATATAGTTATTTGCTGTAGTTCTGTTAAGCATCTGCTTTTTTTGGTAATGTGTGTTTACGTAGATGACTGATTTTCATACTAAATAGTAAATTTCCTTGATTTTTTGTTTACGAACCACTCGTCAAAGCATCTCCTTGCTCCAAACTACTGCAATTCTGGCATACTATACTTAATTCACAGTTGGAAAATATTATTTTATATATAATTAATATAGCGAAGCTTTATCTCGTCTTTGCTTTTCACCACATCATATTGCTAAACTGATAGAGGTCATTTTAAGCGCAATCTGGTAAAAAGTCTACGCAATGGTTGCGAACAATCGTAAGCAGCGAAAGCAAGAGAGATGGAAAAGGCATCGGGAATAGTTAGAAGTAGGTAACTGTTCAGAATTATCAAGAATACCGGTATTATAAATTCATCTGTAAGTGAGACTATCTCGGAAAAGGATGGGCATATTATTCATTGTCAATCCAGGAGATTGGATCTATGAGCAGAACACTTCAGGGATCAATTTGACTGGCCTTTAGCCACACTTCGGTTGCCCACGATCTCTAGTCAACCTGAATGGCAAATCGACGTATGTCCTCCGATTATTATGAAGTTGAGAAACCTATGGGAAATCTAAGGCGAGGGAGAACAGCGGTTCCTGGTAGGCTAACTGCTGAGATTTTTAAGGATCGTGGTCCAGTTTTAGCAGTTAGACTGACTGAGATCTTAGGCATAAGTCGGGAACTGAGAATAATCCCATCTGACTGGTCTGAATCACTGATTGTCCTAGTCTTGTGACAATCACAGGGGAATCAGTTTAACTAGTATAGCCTCTAAATTATTAGTCTCGATAATACTTAGACGCCTAATAGGAGCCCGTGATGAGAAGACTCAAGCAAGTAGGTTGATTTCAGACCTGGACGTGCATGTATAGTCTACATATTCACACTTCAACAGGTCCTAGGACATAGACACACGTTCAGACGTCCCGAAATAATAGTATTTCTCGACTATAAGGCGACATTTGACTCTGTTGATCGTCAGCTTCAGTGGCAGTCTGTCATTAAAAGGTGTACCAAAGAAGTACATTAACCTACTCGAACACTACTAGTCAAGTTAGAACTGTCATTAGAATTGATTTATTCAAGTGGTGTCCGTCAGGGATGTCCACTTTCTTGATTCTTGTTTAATTTTGTCATAGACTTGCTTCTAGATATAACATTACCTTCGTCTGAATTTTCAAGAGTTGAACTCTCACCAGGAGATTCGCTTGTCGACTTGGAATATGCCGACGATATAATTCTATTTGGTGAAGACTCTGACAAAACGCAGTCTTGGCCTGGTGACTGACGAAATCTCGGCACGGTTACAGAAGGCTCGACTGGCTTTCGCCAACTTACGTCATTTATGGCGCAGACGAGATATCCGTTTGCTCACCAAAGGACGAGTGTACTACGCTGCAGTTCCGTCTGTCCTACTATATGGGTGCGAAACAGCCGGTAAGAGTAGACGATGTTCGTAGGTTACTAGTATTCGATCATAGGTGTCTTGAAAGCATTGCTTGTGTATCATTGGACAACCAAGTAAGCAATGCTGTTATTAAGAAACGGATATGAGGTAAGGATGGCAGATCAATAGATGAAGTGGTGAAACTTCATCAGTTGAGGTGGTTGGGACATGTTTTACGAATGCTCAACCACCGATTACCTTGATGAGCTATTAGTCGTGTTCTTGGACCTAAAAACGGCATTCGACTCAGTGGATCGTGAGGTTCTGTGGCAGTGTCTGTCATTTGAAGGTGTACCAAAGAAGTACATTAACCTTATACAAGCTCTCTACTCGAAAACCACTGGTCGGGTGAGAGCAGATGGCTAACTGTCATCTGAATTCTCTACATCACGTGGTGTCCGTCAGGGCTGTCCATTATCTCCATTCTTGTTCAACTTTGTCGTAGACATCCTCTTAGAGTTAATATAAGCCCGTCAGATTTTTCAGGGGTTGACCTTCTACCAGGAAAATCGCTTACTGATCTAGAATACGCCGATGACATAGTTCTATTCGGTGAAGACGCTGACAAAATGCAGTCTTCTGACTACCCTAAGCAACAATGCGAGCATATTCGGGATGCGGTTCTCACCCTCGAAATGCAAAATGTTGCTTCAAGACTGGGTTGCATCGGCACCTGAACTAGTGGTAGGGAGTGAAGTAGTCGAAGGTGTAGACCGCTTCACTAATCTGGGGAGTCTCATCAGTGCCGATGGCCTGGTGACTGACAAAATCTCAACACGGATACAGAATGCTCGACTGGCTTTTGCAAACTCGCGTCACTTATGGCGTAGGCGTGATATCCGTTTGCTGACCAAAAGACGAGTGTACTGTGCAGCAGTTCGCTCCGTTCTCCTATATGGCTGTGAAACATGGCCGGTAAGAGTAGATGTTCGTAGGTTACTAGTATTCGATCATAGATGTCTTAGAAGCATTGCTTGTGTATCCTGGGACAACCGAGTAAGCAATGCTGTCATTAGGAAACGAGTACTAGGTAATGATGGCAGATCAATAGATGAAGTAATGAAACTTCATCAGTTGAGGTTGTTGGGACATGTGTTACGAATGCCCGACCACCGACTGCCTCGACGAGCTATGTTTTGTGGTGTAGGAGTGGGTTGGATGAAAGTAAGTTGGATGGAAGAAAGAAAGTTGGATGATAGTAACTGGTGGTTATTGACCTTGAATGACATGGCTCAGAATCGTTTGCAATGGCGCAGGTGCATTCACTCTTTGTGTTCTCTGAAATCTTAATCTTCTGAATTCATTACCTTCCTTCTCTCTTTTTAAGTTTATTTCACTAGATTATACTTTTTGAATAATATCTTGGAACCGTAATCCATCTGATTACTGCTAATACTTCTACTACCTGTACTACTATGGGATTTGAATTGACAATTACATCTCTGTGTGTTAATGTGGTATAGCAACTTGAACTGATTTACGTATGTACAAAGTTCTATGTTGTTGTTGACTAACTGGCTCATTTATGAGAATAACTTTTTCCCTTTTTTTTTTAAACAGTGAAAAGTTATTTTTGTAAAATTTAATTTAAATGAAACGTAAACATACAGAAAAATCTGCTTATGTATCATCATCATCAACAACATCGGCACTATTAACAACAACAACAACAACAGCAACAGCAGCAGCAATTGTACAAGGAAATCTTAGTGATGTGAGCGATGATTATGAAGATACATACAATACAGAAGTAGCTAATATTCAAGCACAGTTAGATCAATTAGATAAGAAAATTCATCCAGGTAATTTTAAATAAGAATTTCATTTTTGTGTATAATCGATAGAATTTGTAAAAATTCGTGAAGAAGTTGAACATTGGTATTCAGAACAAAAACAACGTATACATATTTTACATGAACATAAAGTAAGCATAAATGATGATGATGATTATTATTATTATTTTTCTATTTCA